GAGAGAGAGAGAGAGAGAGAGAGAGAGAGAGAGAGAGAGAGAGAGAAATGAATCTCTAAGGCCTAAGCAGCCCCAGCTCCTTGCTGGACTCCAGCTGCTGTCTTTAAAATGGGGGACTGCTTGGTGTCTTATCTTCTTCTTTTTTTTTTTCTCAGTGCCAGGGATTGAACTCAGGACCTTGCTCTTGTGAGGCAAATGCTTATTCTACTGAGCTATCTCCTCGGCCCTGTGTCTTATCTTCAATGCCAGGGTCACTCAGAACTGAGATTGCTGGGTGAACCAGTCAAAGGGCTCCTGTGAATATGACTAAGCCTACCAACAGAAAAGCCCATATCACTGCTGAGAATCACCAGTCCAACTATAGATGGACCCTTAACCCCTGGCATAGCCTAACTTAGCCACTTCCTTGTACCCCTTCTCTCAGAGAGCAGAGACAGGCTTTCCTCTCCCTGTTTCTAAGCAATCAAAATTTTCCTGGTAGCTTAAAGAAGCCAGTCAGGTCCCATGCTCTGAGGTAAGCAAGCCCTCTCTTGAACCTTCTAGTCAGTTAGAATAGGATGGCTTGCTGTGTGCCCTTGGTAAGCTTTTTTGCCTTTTAAGATGCTGTATGATTTACCTTTATGTATTTTATAGGTATTTTTGTCTGTTTTTTCCTTGGAGCATCCTCCATAACTGGAGTGGTACCTGGTACATGTTCCATGAGTATTTATTTGGTGAATGAGTGAGGATGAACCATCTCCTCTACCTGTGAACCTAACCTATCCTAGGGTTCCTTTTCTTCAAACTGACAGTTCCTGTGCAGAAGAACAGAGAGGGATGGTGGAGAAGCTCAGGGCCAGGACTGGCTTCATGACTTCAACCAAATCACTCAGTGTATACCCTTCATGATTCTGAGGATGTGTACTACAGTCTAGATGGATGAGATAATGGTGGGGGCTTGTTCCACAGAACAGAGGCCTTCCTCTGCCCCAGTGGCCTCTCCTAGGATTCCTGGAGACCCTGGGGGCAGAGGGATCCAAGTTCCAGAAGACTGTGAGCACATCAGCCACAGGTAGACAGACACTCTACCTGGTTATGGTCTCAGTGACTGTTATTAGGGATGCTTTCTGGCAGTATTGAAAGGTCAGCATCTGTTCATCTCAGAGAGAAAACCTAGGCTCAAAAATGGCAAAGAGCTTGCTAAGGGCACACAGCAAAACATCCTATGCCAATGACTAGAAAGTTCAAGTGGGCTTGCTCACCTCTGCCCAGCACAGCGCCTCCCACACATAGTGGCCCCTCAGTATGCATTTATCAAATGGAGAAAGTGGTATCAAGATTCACACATAAGTGGGCCTGGTCCTTATACCATTGGAGTTATTCTGACAGACTCCACTGGCAGGATCACATGGGGTCATTGTATGGTACTGGGCACATAGCACAAATGATATAAATGTCAAGGAATGAGTAGCAGAGGAGGCTGGCAGGTTCCCCGTTTCCCCAGAACCTGTCCTGGTCCAGGACTGGAGATGTGGCTCAGTGGTAGAACACTTGCCTAGCATGTCCTGGCTCAGTGGAGGGGGAGAGTTCAGTGCAGTGCTAGGGCTGCTCACTGGCTTCAAAGCCCTTATGCTTCCAGGTGATGTGTGGCTATGCCCTGTGGGCCCTGCCAAGTGTACCTTTTGTTTGCCTGGAGCTACCTGAATAAATAGCTACTTTCATGAAAACTTGTGTCCACTGAGGAGGCTGGAGACTTCAGGGAGGGGCAAGCCATGGAGACTGCCAAGGACAAAGTTCACTGATGGCCACCAGGTTAGATGAGGGCCACCAAATGGGTAAAGGTCAGTGTTTCTGAGACTCAAACCAAGTTTAATTCAGCCCTGGGCTGGCAGCCTCAGGCTGACATTTGCAGGCCTAGGGGTTGGAGATGACCAGTGGCTTCCTTTTGTCTCTTTGCCTTTTTCTCTTGGGGGCATGTTAAGCTGTATGTTCCACAGTTAGTGAGCAGTGAGGGGACAGTCTTCAATCTCCATATATCTTCCTCTCTCCACCAGTCAGTCACTCTCCACATTTCAGAGACTAGGTGACTGAGTTCAGACAAGGGACTTGCCAAGGTCACACACCTGAGCATAGGAGAGATATCTACCCACTAGTTTGGTAAATATTTACTGAGTACCTACTATGACTGTTCTGTGTTGAGAATTTACAGCAAGGAGCGAGACAAGGCTTCCATTTTAGTTCCAAGATAGACAAGAGCCAGAATGAATAAGTGATATATAGTCGTGTGATCTGTTCTGAGAAACACTGCTGGTCAATCTCAGCATTGTGCAAATACCATAGACTGTCCTCACACAAATGAAGAAACTAC